TCGAGCCATTGCGGTCCAGTGCCACCGGATTTCTAATTCGTGTTCCGTGATTCCTATTGCGTAGTTCGTGTGCTGGAATTCTGTGCGTAACTTCACTAGTACTGCTTCTAAGATCCATACACAGAGTCTCAAACTCGGACTTCAACAATGGATGCCACCGTTGCCCGTCTCTCAACGCATTTACAAAGCCGCCGACTGCAATGGCTGGGCTATGTTCTCCGCACACTCGACGACACGTTTTCAAGTCTTGGCTCCGACACCATGTCCTGGCTGGTGCCGCCGATAAGGGAGGCAAGTTAAAACCTGGCTGGACATTGTATTCGAATACGTCGACCACCCTGGCCTTCAGATACTGTACGGTACCCACCGAAACAGACTGGATCAATATTTGCAAGGATCTTGCAGCCAACCGCCAAGTATGGATAGCGGCAATCAGAGATATTCATGGAGCCGGCTTATTCTTTCCAAGGAGTCAACCGTAGTAAAGTAAGGAAAAGTGGTGGCGGTCAGCAACTGTGCGGATAGACGGAGTTAGATGGCACTGTATTACAATCACCGTCAAAGATCAGCCACACACGTTATTATGCATTACAAGTTGATTACCAACGTGTTGGGATCCAGATCGGTACAGAACATCATCCCCCCCCCCCCTCTCATTTCGTGGTCCCGAATCCGTCCTCGCACGTTCAACCATGCATTGTGACCTTTGACCAACTGAAAGACTTCGTGTAAATTCAAGTAAATTCTTTTACGTAAGCTGTTCACTCGAGTGAATGAGGCATCGAAAACAAATGTTCGCTTCGGAACGCATGCTCTTGATAATCATCTTTTACCTCCATTTTGTTGATATAGAATAAATTCTCATGACCAAGAACCGAAGGCTCTCAGTCAACCTTACTCGTACGATCACTAGCTCATTTTCCCGTCTTTTTTATTTAGGAAACGAAAATCGATAAGCTTGCCATCGTTTACTTACATACATACACCATCGCTCTCTCTCTCAATATGCCATACTGTGGCTGTGCGAATACATCATCATGTTCTCTGACCTTGCGCTAGTGGAGCTGCACATGATCGATTCGGTTACACCTTTCATATTTTGTAGGCCGAAAATGTTCAAATTTTTACCCTCTTTTTGAGACTCTCTCACTCTCTGGGTTACAACATAAACGCGGTACAAATTTTCACACATTGATTGACATTTAAATCAAATAGCATAGGCGAGAATGCGTTGCTCATGAGCTCATTCATTCTTAAATCATTACAATTATGTTTATTTAATTAACCGTGTTTAAAGTGAAGTAATGAATACAGTGTGTTGGTTGGTCGCACAGTTGATCAACCGAAAGGAACAGGGGTTAAACATTGCCGCTGGTCTGCGTGTGAGTAAGTGAGTGTTGCCCGTAGACAAAAATGATGACCAGTTCACGAGTGATATAACCAATTTTTGGCCACTAAAACTCAAGCAGAAGAAGTAAATTACTTTGTGGACTAAGATCAGGTTTTAAAAGCCTAGGCTAATTGTTTCGGTTATCGTTATAATGTTCAAAACCTAGTTGTTGTGGACCCATTCAGCGTTAATGCGGATTCCCATTCCAGCGAGTGTTCTTATCCTAACGAGTACACGATGACGGACCCATGCCCGTCCCTCCGATTCCAAGCCATGGTGGCTGATAATCTTTGATACGTATGCATAATTACTGCCTCGCCCGACGGACATAAGTGACAACTCACGAGCACATGATTTGGTAGATCACCATTGAAGCTGCCAACAGAAGTTACCTTATCTTTCTATGTGATAAGAATTGTTGTGTGATAATTTTCAAAGAATACTGGATAGCTGTTTACTCCTTGTTCGGATTCATTGACAGTGAACACTTTTTGGATCCCTTCCGGGATTCGAATCTGTAAGTTGTGAAACATATAAACTCCTAAGGGGTACCGTGCGTGTGTAGCTCAGGGCTGAGGTTCTCGACTCTCAGGGCAATGATTGACCGTTCGTGTTCCGGGGATGGACACAAAAAGTACACATTGCTGATGAGTCCGAACAAGGTCGAAACAACTGTTCAACACTCCGGATTGGTCATCATCCAACAATCCCCATCACCAACGGACCACGTTTTGCTTGTGGAGACTGAAGGAACTCTTAAGCGGGAGGAGGAGGGGGGGCACGGGCTTATTTAAGCATTCCATTCTGAAGAGCAATTTTTTCTTATTTTGACTGATCATCAAAGAAATGTTTTGATCAAGCGGCGAAATCTAGCGGCTTTGAACACTGACCTCTCCGAAGAGACCAGACTCTTGGTAGCCGTCTTTCAGCTTCCCACATCTGCTGCAAAGGGAAACCACAATAATGGAATCTTCTTTAGATTTGTCATCTGTTCGATTTTTAACTCATTTTCTTTAGCGATGATCGATTAGTTTGCCGAACATATCCGTTTTTTAAGAGGAACTTACTAATTATTGTTTATTCTGGTGTTATCCACCTTGTCCTGCTCGACGCTAAGCCTCGAATGGAATTTCGTTCATGATTAATCAGCACGAAGCTATGACAGTTTGTTCACTGCCCATTCCATGTTGTCGAGTTGTTTATCATTCTCTGATGGTCTACCAGCAGCGACAGTTTGAAATTTAACAATTGCAGTCAACTCGCAGTCTCAACTTTCACTGAGAAATTCGGTCAGAACTCACCGATTTCATTTCATTCAGTCAACTGATAATTATTGTGCTGGGTATAGTCATTTTTGTGGCCAGAATGCACAGTGATCAGCTTCCCACAACGAATGTGATATCCGGTGTGGACGGAATTCATCAGTTGGTGTTGGTGATGCTGCTGCTGTTGCTGTTGCTGCTGCTGTTGCTGCTGCTGCTGCTGCTGCTGCTGCTGCTGCTGCTGCTGCTGCTGCTGCTGCTGCTGCTGACGCCACATATTCACTCATTGGTTGAATAAAGCAAGTACTTGGCTGCAATTGAGGGAATGTGCAACGCTGGTGACTCCAAGGATTGAAAAACATGGATTCCCCGAATAAACCACAATCGGTTGGATTCCAGATAAGGAGAATATAACTGATTATCAAGGCTTCCCTGTAGTTGACTCCACATGGTTAACTCTTGCTGTACCTTCTTCGGACATATTAAGGACACNAAATAGCAGATTACGGATGGAGGTACAACGATAAACGAATTTCTGTTGATGCAGATGGGAGTTAAATCAAACCTGGCTCGAAACAAGTAGAGGCACGATCTATGAGCACAGAGGGGGTGGGGGGGACGGAGATTGTGTCTGATTGGATGAAGGGAAAACATATAAATACACGTGCGCAACAAGCGAGCGAAGTTCAGCCGGGGGACGGTCATGAAAAGGCTGTCTGAGGAAATACAAAAGTTGGAGAGAATCACAAAACGTAAGTTGGTCGCCATAGCGAGGGTATCGCGGCATCATCAATTGAGGTCAATATCACAATGATCACACATGGGCATGACCTTACGTGGAATTGTAGTGAGAAAGTGTGTGAGCAACAAAGACCGGGGTAAGTAGGGAGTGATTGCAACACCTGGTGATGCTATCTCGATATGATGAATCACAACCGAACAAAAATCGATCCAACTTTTCCTAAATGCTACGTAGGAAGTTCTCATTGCTAGTCTAATCACGTGACACAGCTGTTCATGACAGACAATGACTAATACTCTTCCAATCATTTTTGTCCGTGCGTCAGGTTGACTTGGTTTTAGGCCATCGTCGATGTACTCTCACGATCATTCATTAAATCGTTAATCCGATTCCGATCAGTATGCTCTCTTATGTGTTCCGATTTATTGTGTTGGGTTACGGGCCCTAGAAATACTGTGCATAGCGTCGCGGTTGGAATTCGGTCTTAATACTAACTTGTTTTGAGTAGTTTCTCGGGATAAGTGTCATTCGTTTCAACCGATCATCCTTCAGCTTCATCCACATCCATTGATGGTCAACTATACACTCCGAGAACACTCGAATCTATTTTCAGTCTTGTTAAATCTCATCAGTTGTGCAAACCCATCACGAGACTTGAACCCTGAACTCTTAGTATGCAAAGTATGGTATTATCATATCACCCAGCTCACACTGAAGCTGACTAGGAGCACCAGGTGAAATATGATCACATTTCGTCTTCCATGGCAATCAGTTAGTTCAAACCAGGATACAACTGACCACAATTATTGTTAAAGGTATCTTTAGATATTATACCATGAACAGGTTCATTACTTATGGACTGTTAATCAGGTCCGGACCTACCTGACACTGGATCCATAAGTGTATACCACTTTCAGTTGTTGGAAAAGATGGTAAACAATAGGTCTATCACAGACTGGAAAATTATCATCGTATATATGCAGCGAAATTCCCGAAATTCACTCGCATGGAAAATGTGCATGACAACCGTTTCGAAATATAATCTGAATGGTTAAGCACTGAAGTGATAGGGTTAGCGTCAAGATTTACCTTAGAAACCGTGCACTGTGTGGTCTGCCACTATGTCTACAGAACTTCTGTGACAGTGATAGATAAAAAGCCAAGTGCGCGAAATCGGACTTAAATCGACAAGGGTTTTGTGGACTTAATCTGCTGATGAATCGTGACAAGGATGAAACTGTTGCATAGGGTTTCCAAAGCTTTTCAGAAACAACTGAAGAATCTATTTCTCATCATCATCAAAACGGTCGTGCTTCCAACCATTCACCCCTCCT